CCAATTGAGATAGAAATGAAACCGACCAAATACAATAAACCGACCTGATACAATGACACAAGACTGGTAACAGTTTGTTATTTAAAGGTTTAATGGCAGGGCCAAATAGAATTTCGTCCACTGTTGATGTCTTCGCTCTCTTGCTTTTGCCATCTGCCGTCTGCAAGGTCTTTCACAATGACGTAGTCAGTTCTGCTTTTTAGTCAATTATTTAATTGTTCTGATGTATGCTGCTTTTGATTGCTAAATTTTTTTTTTGATTGCTTTTAATAGCTTAATTGAATTTCAGTACAGTTTGTTCCATTACTTAGTCGGACCATTTCCGCTTCTGTGTGATCGAATAATGCAAAGCTTGATTTAAGTGCCAATGATCTTAGTGGTTTCATTCCTGAAACTTAACTACTGTAAATAATGTCGGTAATAGTCCTTTCTGGTAGAAATCCGTTTCAGAACCGAAAATAATCGCTTATTGACAGATGAACGAAACAATCCATTGGTTGATGTGAAGTATGTTTGTTGAATTTATGCAAAGAAAATACTCCAAACAGTGTCGAATTAATGATTTAGAATCGTCTTTTTTTTTTAATTTCATCATTTAACGACAAATTTCCAACTTTCCCGCTGTTCATAGGTAGAAAGATAAACCAAGTGCTTAAGTTTTCCAATAGTAGTTGACAAAATCTCACCACCAGCGTTTTAATCTTTCAAGGATTCCATCGTTTCAGTCATGGCGAAAGGTATAGAAATGGTCCGCATTCAACACCTGTATGAAATAAGCATAGCATCGTCTCACTTTTCACGATAATGCATTTCACTTGCATTTTTTCTCATTCATTAGCTCACAAGGAAACTTTTTCAACTTGTCGTCGAAAACGTGACATCGAAAGTAAAAAGGAAAAAACAGTGAAAAAACATTTTTTGAAATTTAATGGAATCCAAACACTATTTCTTCGGATGGATACACTGAAATCCTGCAAATACACAGAAAAGAGAGAGAGTTAGCAACCTTCTAATTAGGAAAAGAGAATTACTATTTGTTTAATGAGATTTTCCGATTTAGTAAATCACTTCGAATTTCCCGGGCATTCATTCTCTAAAGAGAAGCATTGGCGGTAAGTTTTGCGCAAATTTGTTTTCTAATATACTTTAGCTAATAATATTAGAGTTGTGCCTTATGAGAATATTTTTTTGTTTATCGAGCTTTATGTTTCTTTACCAATACTTGAATATTGTATTGACAAGTTGCTCTTTCTGCAAGTGATTTTTCGTATGTCCTGGACAGTGCTGATTTATTAGGAACCTCTACAAGCATTTTGGAAGATCTCAAAAATCTGACTTGATGTGGGAAGTGATTTGTTCATCAATCCAAATACTTCAAGCTCACATTGTCGACAGTATCAGTCGTTCTATTTCACCGCAATTAGCCATAAAAAAAGCGCTTTGTATTAGGCTACAAGCGCAATACTTTGATTGTAGCAATAATAAGCATTTCGTATTTACTAATTTATCGGGTCAAATATATTAAGCCATCTCATTCATTTATTCAGTTTCATCTAAATATTAATGATGATGTAATAAAGCGAAACACAGTGAAATGGCATCACCCTATGTAAAAGGTACCGTATCTCAGAAAGACCATCTATTACGCAGACGGTCGCTTGTGTCAGCAGAATAGAAACATCGGAAGGCGGCGACAAGCAGACACCACTACCATTTGAATTTAAGTTGTAAGTTACATGGTCCACGGTCCTAAGGTGTCTGGGCAATCTGCTATTAATGTAGCCTTACCCCAAATGTGAAATTAAAGCCGAGAAAGGTAGGCCATATTTTAATAGATGAATGCATAAGTAAATATACAAATACCTCATCTCCAATGTAATATCTTTTGATACTGCTGCAACGATAAGCTTTTTATTCCACTTCAGATAAAACGTAAGATCTAATATCATGAACATAAATATGACTCATAGTTTTATGGCTCTAAAGCGTAGGGTATGCATGACTTGAAATTAGATCACGTCATATTAAGGTCACTGTGCTTCGAAGTTGATGCCTGTTCAGTTGACAACTTGGGAAGAAGCGCGGAGTGAACATTAGGTAATACACCACCTTGAGAGATCGTGACATCGGAAAGAAGCACACTCAGTTCATCGTCGTTCCGTATAGCTAATTGCAAATGTCGGGGATTGATTCGGCTCTTATTGTTGTCGCGTGCCGCATTTCCAGCCAGTTGCAAAACTTCAGCAGCTAAGTATTCTAGCACTGCTGCAAGATACACCGGAGCACCAGCACCAATCCGATCAGCGTAGTTCCCTTTACGAAGCAAACGATGAATACGACAAACCGGAAAGTTCAATCCAG